TTTAATTTAAAACTTTAAAATGCATAATTATTGCAATTTTTTTCCAGGCAGGCGGGAGAGTTCCAATTTTCCGATTTTTTTTTTAAATCCCAGACGTTTTTAAAACACGATCTAATTTTATTTTATGACACTCAGACAAAAAAAAATTACAGAATCGAAAGATCATTTACTTCGCCATGATACGGTATAATTTATTTTACAAAATAATTATATTCTCTATTTGTAACGATTTTTCCTAAAATCAGTCAAAATCGGTACGTTTTTATGAAAATGATTTCTAAATCGTTCCGATTGCATTTTCTTTCACGTTAATGAAAGGATATTCTACACTAATGAAATTCATGCTTTTCTCTTTTAGAATCTGTCATTTAAAAAATAAAATGTCAAAAACTTTTTTTTTACGATTTTTCAAAAAAATACTCAAAATTTTATTTAAATACTTAATAATTCATTTAATTATAAAAATAATCTCATGAAACATTTTTTCGTGTGTAGAACAATATTATCTGTAATTTGTACAAAGATTGAAAAAATTATTTAAAAATTACGGTTGAATAAAAAAATTGCTTTTTTCGTTTTTTCCCTTTTTGCTAGAAATATTTATGCATTATTTTTGTTATATATATATATATATATATATATATATATTTTAAATGACCGTTGTTTGTAATAGATATATAAAGTTTGAAGGCATTAACTTAAAAATGAAGCACGAAATTTTTTTTTAACATTAACAAATAAAGCAATGCGAAATTGAATATGTCTTTCTTTTATTTCAACAGTCTTTTATTTATTTTGTTCCGAAAATTCCGTACATTGCTCGCTTAGAGCGCTGGATTAGCAGCTTTTGCAATCGGGTTCGAAACAACATCGTCGCTTAGATTTTATAATTATTTAAAAAAAAATTTCAACATTTTATTCGTGGATTTAATAACTTTGCCAGCAGTTTTGTAACTTGAAAGATAATTTATTTTGTCACGATCCAGTATGTTTTTTTTTTTTTTTTTATTTTACAAAATAAAGATACTATACACATTTTATAATTTTTTCCTAAAATGAATCAATATCGAAGCGTTTATATGAAAATGAATTTAAAAAACTCATACTTTGATTTCTTACAGTTAGTGATTTAAAAAATAAAATGTTGAAAACTTTTTTTTATGAATTTCATTTGTGCAAATATTCATTACTTTTTGGGTCACTATATGGCTGCACGTGTCAAGCTGCTTAAGAATCGGTGAATGGCCACTTACTCGAGAGCTCTGATAGCGAGAGGGGAACGGGAATTTCCATGACAATATGTTATGCATTTAAAAATGTTCGTGCTATGTTCTACCATCTGAGGTACGCCCCCGGTCGACACCTGTGTTAATGTAAACATGCTCACCTTAAAACCTGACACCTGAACAATATGTTATGTATTTAAAAATATTCGTGCAACGCTGGGTCGGGGGATATCAACCCAGCTGACAAAGAAAAGAAAATAAAAAATTTCGGAAATAATGAATTTTAAGTTATACACTCGGTAGAAGCCCGAGAAATGTTGGGCTAAGTGAGGAAGGGGCTGGAAGTCATTTTGAAAAAGAGTATTAGAACTGCTGATTTTGTGAAGGAAAGGGAAATTTTATAAAAATAGAGACTGACCGTGCAACGGCGGGTCATGCAGCTAGTATTTTTGACTAACTGCGATTTTGGAATATACATGGTCAAGACATGCATTGTCATCCAAACTAAACGTGTACACAAAATTTCAGCTCAATCGGTTCAAGATTTCAGCTTCAAAATTGAGTTGAAAAATTCTACCCGAACATTTTACATTGCAATTAAAATAAATGCTGGTAAAAATATAGGATTCTTAGTACGTATACTGATTGGAAGTATTAGAAAATATCTCTTTGAACAAATAACATAAATTTTAAAAATATTTTACACGAAAAAATAACAATTGGAGGCGCGGGGTATCAATCCCCGTATCTCTCGCATGCTAAGCGAGCGCTCTGTCATCTCAGCTACACTCCAAGTCGACACCTGTGTTATTGTAGACATGCTCGTCTTAACATCTGAACAATATCATTATATTGACTAGGTCTATTAAAAGTGTAACGGGAGAAACTAGAATCGAGTAAATAGATAAACTAGATTGTTTCAAGGTAAATAGAAATAGCTTGATAGATCTGCCTTTCTTAGTGATCCCTCTAAAAGAGTAAAAATCTAACATACTTTGTACGGATACTGATTGGAAGTATTGTAAAATATAACGTTGTACAAATCAAACAAATTTCAAAAATATTTTACACGAAAAAAAAAAATAGTAATAGGAGGCGCGGGGTATCGATCTCCGTACATTTCGCATGCTAAACGAGCGCTCTACGATCTGAGCTAGGCCTAAAGTTCACACCTTTCTTATTGTAGAAATGCTCGCCTTAACACCTGAACAAGAACGTACAGTAACTAGGTTTATATTTGAATATAAATCGTCAAAACATGCATTGTCATCCAAACTAAAAGTGTATACAAAATTTCACCTCAATCGGTTGAAGACATCAGCTTCAAAATTGAGAGTTGCAAGATTCCACTCGAACAAATTACTTTAATTAATATCTTTTTAACCAATTGCGATACTGGAATATAAATGTTTGAAACATGCATTGTCATCCAAACTAAATGCGAATACATAATCTCAGCTCAATCGGTTGAAGACATCAGCTTCAAAATTGAGTCGCAAGATTCCACCCGAACATTTTACATTGCAAGTTAAATATAAAAGCTTGTAATAAAACACATCATAAAGTCTAGACTTCTTGGGATTCATAAACATTTTATAGATATTTATGTGGGAAAAAGATGCTTCATCAACTCATATACTGAACAGCTAAATTTAAAAATGTGTTTACATTGTTACACACAAGAAAATAATGATTTGAGATTTATTTCTTAGTAAATTAGTAAGAACCATGCTGATATTTATGAGGTTTACTTAATACACATACACACAGTTTAAACTTACTTCAAATTGTAATACTTATATTGTTTATACCATTTAATATACTGTTGTAGGGGATCTCGAACCACCTGCAGATCCCCAGATTGAAATTTTAGTATTACAATTAGTGCTGAAAAATGAACTCAACACCGAACTTTGAAGCAAGACCACGTTGCTTGGCTGATTTTGTCAAATGAAATGTTATTGCAAATTATTTCTCTAATTAATTTTTTTTTATGTTTTTCTAAAAATCTTAATTTTTGTAAATAAAAAAAATCACAACACATTTTTGTAATAAAAGTTATTTATTCTATATATAAATTATGATTTTGTAAAAATATTTGTGGGCCATCTTTCAATGTAGCCAATAATTTCTCCTGCAACTCAGTTTTAGAGCTTCTTTCTTTCAGCTCTGTATATTTTATGAATTGCTGATGCTCAACTTTTATGCACGTAGCAGCAGATGAGCTGTTGGATTTTTAGCATGTTTTCTGAACACTGTTAAGGTGTCCTTGAGAGTTCTGGCTGTCTTTGGAGTTGCATTTATATTGGCTTCATCTGTTATATGATTTTCTTTATTCCTGCATTTTGTAATTTGTTAAATAAAAATTACATGTTTAATAGGAATACAAACTAGTTCTCAAATCAGAAAAAAACTATGAATATCTACTTGGTAAAATAAAAAAAAATTCCTTTTGTTTTAGATAAGTAATACCTATTTTGTGTCTTGATTCACAATAAATTAAAAGTTTATTATTGAAATTATATACTAATCAGCTTGATGGATTTAAAAGTAAAGGATTACTTGGATCAAAGTTATTATGGAATAAGCAAAAATAATTTAAATTTTGGAAAAAAAACATTTATTAAAAATATGTTTTCCTTTTTTTATACTAAATAATTTAGTATAATTTAGTACTTTTAGTCTAAATTCATAAACTTATTTCACATGATGATCTGACCACGTTTGTAAGAATGGTCAGATCATCATAAGAAAAAATATGCAATGTTTCACCAAAAACCAGAAAAGCTCTAAAGATTATTATCTTTTCGTACCAACAGCTCATTACCACAAATAATCAAATATTTTTTTATCTAATATATTTGTCATGAAAGTTTTGATAAATTTTATAATAATGCATTTGAATAATGAAACATAGGAAATCAGAAGTTGACACGTTGAAATATTTTTGAGATTCTATTTGAAAGAAAAATATTATAATTTTTTAGTATAGGTAGACGAAAGTTTTTTTTTTTTTACTTCATCTCTACTGGACTAGTTAAGGCGATATGGTACCATCTTTAAAAATTTTTTTATTTTTAATATTTGATATTTGGTTTTAATTGTATTTTATAAAGGTTAATATTTAATAATAATTCCATACAAAAAAAATTTAATTTGTTGCAAAATGTTTGTAAAATATAAAGTTTTTAAATTTTTTTAAACATTTTTTAAATCCCTAAGGCTTTTTTAAATATGTTTCTTTTCTTTCAAAACTTTTCTTTTTACTTTCTTTTCTCTTTACTGTTTCTTTCTTTTTACATGTGTATATGTGTATATAAGTGTATATATATATGACATGATTTTTAGAGTCAGAAACAGACTTAGTTTTAAAAAAGGTCTTTATTCTAGAATCAGTACATCTCTTCTGACGCATGAGGCAGAGAGAAAAAAACGCCGACGAAATCTTAAGTAGGTTAAACACTTAAAACACCGATAGCGGCGTTCATGAGTTCTCTTGAAAGTTAATGCTGACATATAGGGCTTTTAAACATAACGTTTAGGCATTAGACATGTTTATTGGCTAGACCATATGTTCGGAAGAAATAAATGGTGTGATATGGCCGATCTTTGTCGACCATATCGTTGAGGGTCAGCGTAAATTAGAGGTGTGGGATACTCAAAATGAAGAGACATTTTAGAATTCTTAATATGACTTTATTAAGAGTTTAACTTAAATTACTTATATATTGAACAAACTTATATTAAGTGAGAATAAACCAAAACACGTAGCCGTAGTTAACACAGATCGCGCAATTGGATCACTTATCTAAATAATTATACTATCCGCCTACTCTCAATCCTAATAATATTTCGAATTCGGAAAATAATCTTCCTACCTTTAATTCCAATCAACGGTTCAATCAACTTCAGATATTCAGTTAGGCTCAAATACAATAGTATGCACCTTGTAGTATTGGCTAGATGTCCGTGATTCTTGGGTAGGCAGTCAAATTACACTTCTACATTTTCCAAGCAGAGCTTTCTCTAAATTGCCATCCCGCTTGCTAAAACTTCTGTCGTTTTAAAGGCTATCTTATTTGCCTCTATACTTTCGTTTCACTTCTTGGATTTGTGTTCGAAAAAATTTGCCATTAATCTTGGCCGTCAAAGAAACCAAAGGTTATGTTACAGAAAGGACGCGTGAGCAATCACAACCCCCTCCAAAAAGCAAAACGTGATTTATTCGAGGGTCTACATGAACCTTAAGAAATTACGTGCCTAAATATTTATTTCTTAATGTCCTCACTTTCTAAGTTTTATTTAAATTTTAACCTTGAATCCTCATTTTAACTATTAATTTCCAATATTTAACTTAACTTTTTTTTTCATTATTCATCTTAAAAATTAAATTTAATATTCTTCCTTAATTTTATCTCTTGACAGACACAATAAATTTTACTCAATTAAATAGACCAACATTAACAGTTTTGCATTTTAATCATGGTATATTCTCCCTTTTACATATGTGGGTATACCTCATCTGAGCGGGGGACCGGAGAATAAACCATTCTTGACTTGGATGGAAAAAAACAAGGTCCGCATACCCCTTAACTAACTTAACTACTTAAATACTACTTAATATTTACTTAAACTACTATACAATTTTTATCTTGCATTGATGTTCCATCCATTGGGTATTACAAAGAGACTTGGAGACTGGGTTTTCTTCTCCAAGTTGAGGATAAATTGGAATTCAGGGTCTGTCACCCTGAAATAAAAACTCTTTAAGTTACTTGGCAAAATCTATATTCACATAATACCAGCATGTTTCACAATTTTTATGCATTATATATCACTTTTTTAAATTACAACAAATTTTCATGTACACCCCGCATCTGGTTCCGTTAAACTCCCAATGAGTCGCGCAGCGCTGTTAATGTTATTGTTAGTGATCTGACTACGCCGCGCCTCCCTGAACCAGATGCACATTATAATACGGAACAATACAACAACATATATATACACTATACAATTACAAACATTTTTCAATAAATCATTAAAACAAATAACCAAAGGAATTGTCGCATCTCACGAAGTCATACATCGAAGTAAACAAATGCATAATTACAGTTGTTTTCTCCATCAATTGAGAAAAAAATTTTACAAGTCAAAAGTTCAAAAAAAATATATACACTCATTGTAGTGTCAACTTTTGCTCGTATTATAACTTTTAAACACCACCCGAGACTTCCTTCTTTGCAATAATTCTTCCGACCACTTGTTGGAAACAACATAAAAATGAAACAATACAACCTGATTTTTATGGCTTGTCTCCTACTAGGACTTCCATTGACAGGGTGCTGTTACTTTTTGCTCCTCTTCTCATTCCTCGGGTGCTCTTTGATCCCGTATGTTGCCTGATGTAGGGTCTGTAGTTTTCTCTTCGGCTTTTCCTAGCTTGACTTGATTTTACTCCATTGGCCGGTCCGGACTCCTGATCATTTTTCTTGCGTGGTCTCAGGTTGTAGTTCTCTAAATCTTGAACCACTACTCCTTCCTCTCGGTTCCTCTTCCTACTTATATAAATATTATGTGATGACAATCGTCTTTTATTTATTTTATTAGGTCCGCGTTTCTGCCACTTTCTTTGTGGTCCACTTGACCAAGATCCATACGACCGTTTATCTCCTGCTCTATCTGAACGCTTTCTTTTATTTCTTGTCTTATTACTGGAAAAAGAGCTAGGTAGTGATCTGATAAGTGATCCGCGCTTATCGGCCCTATCCATGTGTTTCTCACATTGATTTGACT